CAAAATACGGGAGCTCGGCGCCTGTGAGCCTCGGACCGCAGCAGCAGCAGCAGCCGCTTCGTTGGAAATGCGACCATCTGACCACTCGCCAGTTTAGATATTCAATAATCGCGTCCTCGCCAGCCCGAGAGCGCGGGCTGCGGTAGTGGCGATGGGGAGGGGGGGGAGGGAGGTCATGGGCGATCTACTACGTCGTGGTCGTGGCTCGGCTGTACTGCTCGGGAGCCAGCAGCAACAACAGCAGGAGACGCGCGGGTGGGCTCTCAGTCCGGACCAACAGGGGGGTTAGGTTCTAAATTAAACGAGAGGCGCTTTTCGTTCATCCCTTGTGCCCGCGCGCTCACAGCCTCTCTCTCCCCCCTCTCTCTGTGTTTCTCTCTCACTCTCACTCGCTTGCACAACACACCCGCCCCCGCCTTCACTGCCGCGGGGTTCATGACCGCTCAGCAGCGCACCCACCCGGGTCCTGCCCCGTCCAGGTCGTGCTCCGCGCGTCCGCAGAGGGGAGTCGCGTTGCTGACGCGCACCTGCTCTGGCTCCGCTGGGGCCCTCGGGCCACGAACTCACTACGTAGTATACTACTGCTGGCTGTGCCCCGCGGGGAGACGAGAGGAGGGCGCGTCAAAACGTCACGTCAAGGCGACACGGCCCTCCACAGCGGGAGCGGGAGTGGGAGGGGTGACGCGCCCAGTCCAGCAGCAGCGCGCTGCTCCACCCTCGTGTGCGTGTGTCCGTGCCGCGGCCGCCCGGGGGTACCTACGGCACCTCCCCTACCCACTCACTACCCTCTGGAGCTCACCGCAAGGACGAGCAAGCCCCACCCCGCCCCGCCCCGCCACGAGGTGCTGCGGCGAGTCGGGCCCCGCCACAGAGTGCGCGGCGAGGACAAAGAGGCCGGCCCCGGTGGGCCCCGGCTTACGTCCGGGGCGGGCGCCGCGCCCTTTTGTTGTCTTCCGAGTGTCGAGTCTGCTTCATTTGCGCGGGGCAGAGGGTTGCGAGGGGGGAGCAGGGTGGAGGGGCGCGCCTCCGCAAGGCAGAGCGTCAGCAGCCCCCCC